CCCTCGCTTCGCTCGGGCGACAAACTTCGCTCGTGTGGGAAACACTTACTTTGCGCACTTGTATCGTAATGTACTATTGTCTCTTGCAGTTTTTCTGTAAAGTTGATAGTATTTAAGTAAAAAATTATTCAAGACCAATATTTTGTAATTTTTAGTAATTAATATCTTGTTAACTATTGCGAAAATTGCAAAATAGTAGAGGACTTTTCGACTCAGTTTAATCTACTCTATCTACACAAAAGTGATTGGCAAAAAAGGACAACCTGTATATATATATATACAAGATGTCCCATTTTAATCGATCATCTCAAATATCTCTTGAACAGTGCATTTAAGGAAAAATGTTTCAAACAAAAGTTTTGGGAGTTTGAGGGGGACATAAGATGGTGCCATTGGTTTGATTTTGGGTGGCGTTGTCAAGGTCGGGGCAAGGTCACTTTGAATTTTTTAAACGGGACTCCCCATTTTTCATTACGTATTCTTGTAGCTTACCTCGAGAGCTTTCCAAAATACTATAATTAAGTTCATTTTCATTAAGTACTTTTCAAGTTATAAGGCTTGCAAGTTATAGCACCGCCGGCATTAGCATTAACCCAAGGTGTCCAATCGACGGCTAAAATCTCTTGAATGTTGTTCAGGATCATTACCTGGATAATATTTATCAAGATCAAGATCATTGGAGAGTGTTCCTCTTATTTTCACTTGCGAACTAAAAATTTATTTCTACATAAAAATGAAAATAAGAGGTACAACTTCCAATAGTCTTGTTGACAAATGTTATCCAGGTCGTGATTCTGAACAACATTCAAGAGATTTTAGCCGTCGGTCGGATACTTTGGGTAATGCTAATGCCTGTGGTGCTATAACTTACAAACCTTATAACTCGAAAAGTACTTAATGAAAATGAACTTAATTATAGAGTTTTGGAAAGCTCTCGAGATAAACTACAAGAATATACGTAATGAAAAATGGGAAGTTCCGTTTAAAAAATTCAAAGTGACCTTGCCCCGACCTTGACAACGCCACCCAAAATCAAACCAATGGCACCATCTTATGTCCCCCTCAAAGTCTCAAAACTTTTGTCTGAAACATTTTTCCTTAAGTGCACTGTTCGAGAGATATTTGAGGTGATCGATTAAAATGGGACACCCTGTATATATATACAGGGTGTTTGAAATTTTTCACGACGCCTGTCATGAACAGGTAGAACGGACCGAACTGAATCGAAAATTCTTATACCATTTTGTAGTTTGGATAGACGTCTATTAGAGGCATTTACATTTAAAATAAGGCCTAAAAATATTAATTTTAGACGCCATGTGATTTTATATTTTTTTATTATTGTGTTATATAAGGCATGCGCAAAAACCTAATATTTACACAATAGCAGATCTTTGTTCATGAGATACTCTTTTATGCTGCAAGCAGATACCGCGATATTTAGAAAATTAGCGCCCAAGGGCTTATCTGAAAGCCCTTCTCTTTCTCCCTTAGTACATAAATACTTATTAATTACAAAACAAGGCTAAATAATTAAATGATAAAACATTTTTTCCTAGGGAGGAATAAAAATCAGATCGACATCGATTAAACATCTAACATCGGCTGTTTTCCAGCTAGGACACAGAGGGTGCGTTCCACTTAAAGTCCGCAACGCTCACGAGCATCATTTCATCCTCGTTGTAATCGAATGTCAAACAAGGATGAAATGATGCACACGAGCATTGCGGACATTAAGTGGAACGCATCCAGAGACGTTACACTGTGTTCTACTGTGTAAAGTACTTATTGGAACGCAGTTTAGTTTCATAGTGTATTGTAACACCAGAATGCATTGCAGTTTTCCATTCTATTCTTATAATTATATTTAGCGTATGGGTGGGTGTGGGTGTATGAATGGGTGGGTGAGTGGGTGAGTGTGGGGG